TCAAATGGAAATCATGTAAAATACTTCTAAGGTTGATTGGACATAAAGTTGTTCTATTACAGACCGCATGTCATTCCCTAAAGTATCATATCCTTGAGCATATCCTTCATCTTTGAGCATGTTAAGACAAATGAATATAGATAAAATTCACCTTTTCGTGCGCTAGCCGTCCAACAGTATGAATTGTTTTAGATTGTGTTCGGTCACCAAAAAGTTCGGACATTGTTCTCTAATTTCCGTACAAATGTACTGACTCTAAAAGAACTATTTACTTGGTTAATGTTTAGTAAGTTCTGTAAATACATTGTCAAGTAAATGATCATTTTTCTAGCTTGATTAAGCATTTCTTTACTGCTGTTAAGAGAGCTAACTAAAGAAATCTACAATGTACCTATATTTTCAACAGTGATATATTTTGTATGGGAATCCGAGAAAAATGTCCGAACTTTTTGGTGACTGTAACACAATCCAAGCTACCGCTGAAAAGGTGAATTCAAACAAATAATCTTTTCTCAAGAGAATCATGGGAAATCAGAAAACGTTACACCTAGGAAAATCCAAGTTTAATGGTTGTGCATGAGAAGGAGCATGAATATAGACCTAACTCAAACAAAGAATCTTATTCTCAAGAAAATGACACATGGTCTGAAATGGGAAAACATTATTTCGAAGGATATTATACTCAAATGATTTTACTCACAAAGTATCGAAGATAATATAAGACCTACCATGTAAAGAGGTGATCCTCTGATATTCCTTGAATCAGCATCAGAATGCAAGTACTGGGCAAATCCAAAATCTAGAAGAATTAATAAGGATCATTTACCTTTTGTTATAAAGGGGTGACTCAGGGTGAGATTGGCCAGTTTTTTAAATCACCTGGCCCCTATGGGTAGCATGGGTGGCGTTTGCAGCTAACGTGTTGTCTTTCACTGCTGTGAGTCCAACGGGTCGGGATGCTGGTTCGAGCCCTGCAGTCGCCGCATGTGAATTGAGTTTGTTTGATGTGTTGTTCTCTCCTATGCTACGAGGGTTTTCTCCTGGTTCTCTGGTTTCCTCCGTCCACAAAATCAACATGTGCATTGAGGGTTGTGTGCGTAGAATATTGAATGTAGTGGTAGTGCGTGTGAGTGAAAAGTGTCCCCAATTAGTGTGAAAGCACTAGAACGACTAGACACTTAAATAAAAGTGATTTATTTATATCTAAAATTCCCACCACGCTACTTCAAAAAGATCAGTCTTTGCTTTTGATCACTACAGGTAATCAAAAATTACTCACATCATCATAAATTTGATTGATGAAAGCCATAAACCCAAAGCCATAAAGTTTCAGAACTTATCCATCCCCCCTCTTCACAGAAGATTCTTCTAATACCCGATCCCTCCTATTTGGTCTGGGTCATGTATGGGTAATGTATGCTATAGTGAACATGGATCATACAAGGTACTGACCTGCTAGTTTAAGTATAGGGTCATACCGCGAAGACAGAAGAAGATTATGTGGCTTTAAATCCATGTGCGCAATATTATGGGAATGTAAAAAACAAAGTGCACTAGCTGTGAAATAAAAATATACATAAATGATTT